TCTTTAGTATAGTAAGGTATTTTTCCCTCTTTCTGTCCTTTACACTGCAGTGAAATAAATCCAGTCTAAATCTTTCTATGAGACGATGAAATGCATAAAATGGATGTAAGATCATAGTTAAGTATATCTATTTAAAGCTTTTGACCAGCTATATATATAAATATATAGATATATAAATATATATATATATATGAATTTGAACGGATGGTGTTTTTGGCCTCTAGGGACCTCAAAATGAAAAATTAAATCGGCCCCGGGTCCAGGTCTTACCATGAGTACTACGGTAATAGCTTATTCCCTATAAATAAATAAATAATAAATAAATAAAAATGCCTTTATTTCCGAGCGTCTCTCAGTACAAATATTACTGTTTTACAGAGTAACTCAGGTCAAAACTAATTAAAAATACAATACTATTATAATACAAGACATCGTGTGATAAAATAAAAATATAAAATATATATATACAACTATTTTACAATATTAATACGTTTTTTTAAGTTTCTTTTAAAAGCCAGGACCCCCAGCTGTTTTAGGTCCAAGGGGAGGTCATTGTAAATCTTTGGGCCAAAGTATGAGAACCCTTTCCTTCCCACTTCCAGGCGCACTTTTTGAAAGTGGAGCAAGGCGTTGTGCCGGGTCTCGCGTTGGGTCATCTCCCCACGTGCCACAAGCCTTTCCACCAGGTACTTAGGCTCTTGCTGAACCAAGACCCGGTGGATGAGGCTACAAGTCTGCGCCCTGCACACGGCACCCATTGACAGCAACCCCGCAGCATCCCGGAATGGGGATACGCGTTCACGCTTACGGATACCGTAAACGAAACGAACGGCGGAGTACTTCACTTTTTGCAAACGGGACATCTCTTCCCTTGAGATGCTGTTTCCGAATGCAGGGAGACAGTAATGGAGCACTGACAACACTAGTGACTGTACCAGCTGCAGCTTGGCTGTCTCTGGCAGGATGTTTTTGTACCGGTACAGACCACGCAACCTTCCCAAAGCCACCTGGGAAACATAAGTGATATGGTCCGAGAATGTGAGGCCACTGTCAAGTACCACACCCAACATCTTGACAGTATCTCTCACCATTAAAGGGTTTCCTGTGAGTTGAACGTGCATGTCTCCATTTGCAAGTCTGTGAAGAGTAGTGGGTGGAGCAATATGAAGAACAGTGCATTTGTCAGCGTTCAATTTCAAACCATGTTTGTGTGACCATTCACTTACTCTCACCAGATCAGAGTTCACTCCTGCATAAACTTGCGCAGTGGCCTGAATCTCGTACGAGAAATGCAACTAGCAATCATCAGCATATGAATGCACATTGGGAATATTTGGGCCTATATGGGAAATTCGCTAAAAGAGGATATAGGTAACTATAGGCCTGTTGCGATTGTACCTGTTTTATTAGCGAATTTCCCTATAGGGAAGTAGCTATTAACGTAGGTGGCATGGTAAGACCTAGACCCGGGACCGATATACTTTTTCATTTTGGTGTCCCTAAAGGCCAAAAACACTATTCGTTAAAATTTTAGCGAATTTCCCTATAGGGAAGTAGCTATTACCGTAGGTGGCACGGTAAGACCTAGACCCGGGACCGATTTACTTTTTCATTTTGATGTCCCCAGAGGCCAAAAACACCATTCGTTCAAATTTTTATATATGTACATATAGACTTATATATATATACGTCCGTGAACGCGATAACTTGAGTAATTTTTGTCCGATTTTGATGAAATTTGGTTTAAAGGTGTAAAGCGGGATAAACTTGAATGAGTTCGCGAACCAGCAGGATCGGACCATGGGAACGGGGCTTTACGGGGGGTTTTATGGGGTAAAAATTGGTTTTTCTCACTTTTGACCCTCAAAACAAAAAATTTCCCAATTTCTCTTTAAACCTTTTTTAAAGAGCTTAAAAAAACAAATAATTTAGTATATATAAGTATTTTTATTCGGTTATTAGTAACGGAGAAAATTTAAAAAATTGTAAATTTAAAATTCCCATGTTATTCTTATGGAGAATATTGTCAAATGTTGTAGTTTGCTTGTTTATGGATATAATTTGATCAAACTTGGCAAATTTATTTATTTTGTACTAAGCTATCAATATTTTACTAAAAAACACACTTTGTTAGTTTCCTTGTAGCAGCAAACCTAGGTACTCGTTAAATCTAATGATATTAAAATATATTTAATTGAAAATCAATTCAGACAAATTGAAATTCGCTTAGTCAGCAGGTTTGCTGCGGCGGGGTATTTATATATGTATACATAAATATATATAGACTTATATATATATATACGTCCGTGAACGCGATAACTTGAGTAATTTTTGTCCGATTTTGATGAAATTTGGTTTAAAGGTGTAAAGCGGGATAAACTTGAATGAGTTCGCGAACCAGCACGATCGGATCATGGGAATGGGGCTTTATGGGGGGTTTTATGGGGTAAAAATTGGTTTTTCTCACTTTTGACCCTCAAAACACAAAATTTCCCGATTTCTCTTTAGACCTTTTTAAAGAGCTTAAAAAAAAAAAAATTAGTATGTTAAAGTATTTTTGTTCGACTATTAGTAACGGAGAAAATTTAAAAAATTGTAAATTTAAAATTCCCATGTTATTCTTATGGAGAATATTGTCAAATGTTGTAGTTTGCTTGTTTATGTATATATTTTGATCAAACTTGGCAAATTTATTTATTTTGTACTAAGCTATCAATATTTTACTCAAAAACACACTTTATTAGTTTCCTTGTAGCAGAAAACCTAGGTACTCGTTAAACCTAATATTATTAAAATATATTTAACTGAAAATCAATTCAGACAAATGGAAATTCGCTTAGACGGCAGGTTTGCTGCGGCGGGGGTATTTGAGATAGTGGAACTAGTAGTTGGTACACAATTGATGGAATATTTGGAGTCCCATGATTTGATATGCAAACAACAGTTTGGATTCCGAAAAGGTCTATCAACAACTCAAGCAATTATTTCTTTGGTTGATAAGGTGCTAGATTGTTTTGAAAAAAAGGACTTTGCTGCAATCACTTTCTGTGATCTAAGTAAAGCCTTTGATCGAGTTTCACATACAGTACCTACTGTTAGAAAAATTAAAGCACTACAATATCAAAGGTGTGGCTTTAGATTTATTTAGGTCTTATCTGCAAAATAGATCTCAGTATGTGGCATTAGGAAATAACCTGTCTCAATGTAAACCTGTAACCTGTGGAGTCCCTCAGGGCTCGGTACTTGGGCCATTATTGTTCTTGATAGTGGTCAATGACTTAAGCGTAAATGTCCCTACAGATATTGTTTTATACACAGACGACACCACGGTAATCACCAGGAGTTGAGACTATAGTCAACTTTTAGAAAACTGTGAGTTGAATAAAAATGTTGTTGAGAACTGGCTCACAGCATATAATTTAATTCTAAATAAAGATAAAACATCAACTGTAGTATTTAGTCTTAGAGAGATTCCTGAGATGCCAAATGAAAATCTGCATCCAAAGTTTTTGGGACTAACTTTTGATACTACTCTAAATTGGCAATATCATGTTCATTTGGTAAAGGCAAGACTTAGCTCGAGTATATTTGCTATGAAATGTTTGTGTGGTGAATTGAATCAGAATTCTTTAATACAGGCTTATTATGGACTATTTCATAGCCATTTAAGGTATGGTTTGATTGTTTGGGGATCTTCTCCTCATGCAAATGAAGTTTTTATTATGAAAAAAAAAAGTTCTTAGAGTCATTGCTGGTGTAAATATGTGTCATAGTTGTAAAAATCTATTCAAGGAGTTTAAAATTTTGACTGTTTTCTTTATTTATACAACAATGTCTACTTTATATTAGGGCCAATATTCATTTATTAGACTGTAGAAAAGATGTGCACAGTTATAATACTCTTTTTGTAATAACATTAATTTTCCAAAAGTAAGACTAGCCAAGACAGATAAAAGACCAATGATGATTGCAATTAAGTTGTACAATAAGTTACCATTATATATAAGACTGCTTAGTGATAAGGATTTTAAAATTAAATTAAATTATTTTCTATGTAAAGGATCCTTATATTCTAAAGAAGAGTATATGTCAAGACAATGGACTGTTAAGGACTTCTGTTGAATATTATTTATTTATAAAATTGACGTGCCAATGTATTTGCATGAAATATTTTCTAGCTGAATAAAGTTTTTATTCTTATTGGGCAATGACACTTACTAAACATTGACATCGAGTCTGGTCACTCTCTATGAGGAATTTGTAGGCATAGATTTTGTTATACTGTATGATTTAATTGGATGAACTCGCGACCATGTTAAATCTGAATGGCTTGAGAAGCTTTACATTCTCCTCAAGTGTAGATCAGGCTATTCATTCCTTTAGAATTTGTTAATGTTTTCTATAACATCTCTTGGCCAAAGTTGGAAAAAAACTTCATTTAATAAATAAAAAAGTTGCACATCAGAAAAAAAATGGTAGTAATATCTCATTTAAATTTCTTAAATCTTCATAAAACTAACATCCTCTTGAATGCATAGAATGATACTGGCATAAATATAATGTTGTATTAAAAAATCTAAACAAATTTATTTGTGGCTTTTAGTAAAAGGAATTTCTATAGCCTACAAAGAAAGTTTTTTTTCTCCCCTGATAGAGAAATCTTATCTTATGAACCTATAGCTTAAAGGAGGGGCTCCAAACCTCCAGCTCACGAGACTTTCACATGTAAAAGCCATAGGGGATTGGCTGGATCTGAATCCCCCGCCAATGACAAAAGCCCTATGTTCTAACGACCTAGACTCCAATAACTTATATGCCCTGTAAACATTATTTATCAAACTGTAACAATTTGGCATAAACACTGTTTTGTTACTTGAAACCAATTAATTGATTTCATTCGTAGATAAAATACAATAGCCTAGTTAGGTATTGTATGCTAGTGCAGCTTTATCAACACATAAGTTATTTATTGACAACACACACAAAATCAGGTTCTAGAGAATAAATACCTATAAAAAATTGCACTAGGCTATACACTATAGTAAAGGACTTACTTTGACCCACATATTTCTTTTATATAAATATCCTTCACAACATTTTCATCAAATGGTAGGTGGTTTTGCTTGGTGTGAGGCGCCCAATATTGGTTAGCAAGCTAAAACACAAATATGGTATTTAACAAAATAATCTAAAAAACTATGCAATATAAAAGATATATGTATAAGAAATAACCCGATTGCAACAAACTAACAGAAAAATTACATTTTTAGTTGCTTTATTGATTTTTCATTCAAACATCAACTTAATATTATTAATTACCTATTGGGATGGGGATGCCCAAGGTGAGTGTAGGGAATAAGGATGAGAGTAGAATGGAGTGATCTGGGTAGATTTGTTACTTACTAAACGTCGATTTACACATATCAGTTCCACCACAGACCAGCCTCAGTTCAGTCTCAGTTGAATCCGCGATTTCTCAGTCAAACTGTCAGTCATTTGGTTTCAGTCCGTCTTACGTCACTTTATTTACAGTGATGTTACAGTTACCTATTTTTTTTTTAACTAAAACACAATATTCTATCAAATTTGCATGGTCCATCGTGTTGATTATTAAATAACTTCTTGATCAGCATTGTACGTGTTATTAAATTTACGGAAAGTAAATAAAAGAAACGCCTTATAACACTTAAAACATATATTTACGCTTATACTGTTATTCACAAGACAGTAAATATATAAAACAGATGGTAAGTGGTGATCAATTTCGATTGGACACTCCAATCATCATCAGACCCAATAGGCGAATGACAAGAATCTTAATGGCGTCCCTACTTATGGCCCTACTTATGGGACTCCTAATGGGTTAAGTAGGGACGCCATTAAGATTCTTGTCATTCGCCTATTAGGTCTGATGATGATTGGAGTGTCCAATCGAAATCGATCACCACTTACCATCTGTTTTATATATTTACCGTCTTGTGAATAACAGTATAAGCGTAAATATATGTTTTAAGTGTCATAAGACGTTTCTTTTATTTACTTTCCGTTAATTATTATTACAAACAGTAACTTACTTTAGATATAAACACAATCATTTAAATAATTAAAAAAAACACTAGGTATTTTCTAACCTCAAAAACGTCTGTCAGGTGTCCGGACATCCAGAAATATCAGTGAGAAAGAATCTGAAATTGACTGGCACAGAGACTGACAGAACTGCATCGTATGAGTGTAACTTAACTTAGATAGCACAATAGAAGAATTTTTTTTACTGTAGTTAACTAATGTGACGTGCCGTACTGATATGTGTGAATTGACCTTAGGACCAGCTGTTTCATTAGCCACGATCATTTATTATTACAAGCGTCTAGGCATCCAGTGCAACTCCGAGGATCGTGGATCAGAACACCCCCCACCACCGCACCATGTCGTACGCTTCCGAATCATACCGGCGCATCAGCATAGCCTAACTGTTCGCGGAAAACTGTTATCTCTATCACTGTCGCAGTCAAAACATATCGTTTGTAGGTTAAATTTAAATTAAGTATAATTAAACTGTCATAACCTAAATAAACTTGCTGATAATGAAAAACTCGAATGAATGTTTATTAATCGAAAATATAGTTCTGTTCTAAATATAAAATTATTTAAAGGTCTCAAATTGAATTTAATAATTTTTTTATTATAAAATTAAACCGTCATAACCTAACCAAACCAACCAAACTTGCTGATATGAAAAAAATTGTTGACAAAAAGTTAGTGCGCTACCAGCGGGATTCGAACCTGGCACCTTCAGATTATCAGCCCGACACGCTATCCACTACACCACCAAGGCTCATGACTCAGCTCCGTATCGTTGCGGTAATGGTTGACGTCCGCCATCGGCACGAAGCGATGGTGGGGGGTTTTCTGATCTGATTCACGATCCTCGGAGTTGCACTGGCTGCCTAGACGCTTATTTTATTATAAGCCCAATTATCAAGGACAGCTGGGTCCATCTTTTTCAAACCATCAAAAAGCTAAACATAGTAACTTTTCCAGTAGGCCTACTAACTTATAACCACTCAGCTACCCACTAAGTCAATAAATACCCCAGTCAAACCACGGAACCAACGTATCAGTTTTTGATTTATGGCTTGGCACAGAGGGCTGCACTTTAGTATCTGTCCTACACTCATTCGAATGAAAAATATTGATACATAGATTATTTCATTGAGTTAGTTACTTAGGTTAACCTAACTAACCAAACTTGATATATCAAATGTTATAATCGATATATTGATCAATATATTCATTCGAATGAGGTGTAGAACAGATACTTATGTGCAGCCGCACAGGGACATAGATATAAACTAACTATACAGTCAGGTGCGGGAAACTTGTTATCAAGAAACGAGACTTGCAGTTATAGGCCTAGATTCAATCGTCTCCCAAAAGAGTAGAGGAGTGTCAATTAAGTTAAAGGTCTTATTAATTAATTTATTTTGTGAGAAATGTCTTTTTTAGATTCCCTGATCTTGTTACAGTAGCCTATTATAGGCCTAGGTATTATTAGATACAATATTGTACTCTATTTTCATACAATAAGTTTTACTGTTGTAGTATTCATATCATCAACTATGTCTAGGTCTACTAGTTATATTATCGTAGGATAAAATATCTTCGACAAAATTTATTTTGTGGACAAGTTGATTTACATAATTTTAAGGTTAACTTATGTGTTAAGAATGCCTACATACCTGTGTTATTCTGTCTGCATTAATTTGGTCAACAGTTGGTGCTGGCCCTTTAGATTTTTGAAGTATGGCAGAGTTCGTCATCATTAACGTAGCGTCTAGTATTTATTTCAAAGTTTACAACTCTAGAGATTATATTTCATTTCAAGACTAGGTTATTTAAATCAAGATGTCAACAACGCAACGCGAACGCGAACGAAACGAACAAAACAAAAACAATCGCTTTTTTAATCTTATTGGCATTTGCTTATCTGTAGGCAGGCTTCAGATTATAGTTCTCCCATGAAACTAAAATCATAGATAAAACCATAGACTAATCAACACAAGGGAGTATGTTTTATCTATGATAAAACATACTCCAAAATCTTTTTGTTACATTGTTGTATTTTGTACAGTACTGTTAAGTCTAAACCTTTTTCACATTTTTATTTGAGAAGTTATAAATTATATTTGAGAATCATTATTTGTATTTGAGAAAATATCAAATGTAAATTAGATTAGTCAGTTGAATTTGATAAAACGACAAATGTATTTGAGAATAGTCAATCGTATTTGAAAAAGTATTATATGGAATTGGACAATTGTTAATTTAATTTCAGAATTAGGGATTGGGAGATCTTCTTTTTGATCAGTTTTCATATTGGTTATTATGTATTATTTTTACTTTGGTCATGTTTCAAATTGATCAGGTCTATTCAAATCGGCCAGCTTGGTATAAGGTCCACCCCAGCCAAAGGTATATAAATCTGAAATGGTACAAATCGGACTAAAGGGCTTTTCTCTACGTGAATTAAGTTTGAAAAACTTAACATGGGCCTTAAGGATTGAGTGGTTATATTTACTTGCAAGATAGGTACCTAAAGAATAAGGTAAACAAAAGAGTCGTAACAATGTAAGTCGACGAATCGAATTTAAATTAACTAGCACATTGATTACAGATACATACAGCTAGAACAAAAGGGAAGAACAATCTGATGAATATCGTTAAGTAGAAAATTTGACTTAAAATACACCAATAAATAGCATTTTCATCTATGTGAACCATATCACAGAGAATAGACTATTATGGCGTTATGTTGTCTGTGACCCTATACAACTGACTTGGGCTACTGCAAGTAGACATTCCATTTACGAACCAGACCTTCCACTGACTTTGGATACTGACTGCAAATAAGCATTCCATTTATGGGAAACAATGGACCATTGACTTTAGATACTGCAATTAGGTATTTCATATATGTTAACCGTATATACCATTGACTTGCTCATAGTCATTTTATTTGGGTTTAAATATACAAACGATTATTATATACCCAAGTCACTGATTGTACAAGAACAAGTCCAAACTACTCTCAGCCCAAGGCCCCAATAGAAAAAAAAATAGTTTTTCTAGTGGGGCCTTGCTCAGCCGAAGTAGAAAGGCCCAAATTCCAATCTTTACAGAACCTGTCAAAGAAACGAAATAAAATAATCAATTATGATGATTATTATTGACAAACACGGAGAACGTCATGGTCTCATGGGAAAAATCTACGATCCCTCTGTCTTGCAGACCACCTTTTAGGCCATGAAAAAATCCTCGTCGTAAACAAAACAACAATAATAAACGATAACGGTATTGAACTTTTCATTAAATTGAGAGATTTGGATGATCACTTCACTTTATTTTTGTTGTGATTAGGAAATTAGTATTGTATACCAAAGGAGAGGTTTTACTTTAATCGGTATTATTTATCATTAATATAATATGGCTGGAGAAGTTGTCGTAGATGCTCTACCTTACATTGATCAAGGTTATGACGAACCAGGCGTCAGGGAAGCGGTAAGTAAATATAAGAGTTGTCAAATAATTTCCGTATTAAACAAAGTGGAAATTTGAATGTAAGCTTACGTTTTAAAAGGTAACCATTGCAGTTTTTTTGTTTTTTATGTTTTCTACCCAACGAATGTGAATTCTTTAAAACAAACATGCCTTGTCCTAGGCTATTCTGTGGACACACCGGCCCACTGTTAAGTATTTAATGTAGAAAAATGCCTTATCAGAGGTGACTGTAATGGTCAATAAACCTCAGAGCCAGCAGGAGGCTGACCCACAGTTACTTCGGTTGATGTAGCTCAGGAAAACTCAGCACCCTTACAACACAACTTCAGTGGCGGTGCGGGGAGGCCCGCAAGCATTGACCGGGATTTTTTGGGAAATTTTACATGCCCTGCCATTTAATAGGTCTATCATAGCCTAATAATATTTCAGTTTATGAGTACCTAGCCTATATGAGTACCTACCATGTTGGCCTACATTCTTTATGACAAAAAATATTTAAGGCCAGTGCGCTAGGTAGTAGTTTACAACTTCTAAACTGTCACTGCTACTTCACTGGTTGATAGAAGTTCTCTATGAACTTAAGTCATGTGGGATTGCATTGACTTATCATTAGCGCCTTTATGAGGGCACTATAGCCTAATAGGGATGTAGGCCTACATAGAATCGGTGGGTTGGTCACAAGTTGAAGTTGTTCCATTCCAAAAAACAATTTCTGGTGCAAAAAAAATAAAATCCATTGGGTATAAAATAGGAATCACAATAAATTTTAAGTTAGTATTGGCGATTTAGACTAGCTTCAGACACAGCTGTTCAGTTTGGTATAGAGGAAAATGTGGCGCCCTAGGAAGAGGGGGTTTGAGGAGAGAGCGATAAGGTCTTTAGACCACGAATTCAGATTCAAATTGCATGCGCCCCACGAATATCGTTTTAAATCTTACTAACTTATCTTAGTAGGCTATATTTATTCCCTCCACATATTTAAGAACTATTTTCTGCTTTTTAGTGTGTTTGAAAATGTTTTACTTATTTGAAAGTTTTTTATTTATACATTTTTTTTATCTGCTAGTCTTTTGTCAATAGGCCTAAGGCTACGATCATTCTGGGACGCTGACGTCCGGGACGCTAGCGGGGCATTAAATCAAATGGGGGCGGTCAGACTGAATTCAAATTCTCTTTATTCATTCACAGTACAAGTTTTTCAACAATGAATTGCGTCATAGATAAAACATACTCCCTTAGTAGATTTCCCATCCTTATGGAACAGCTGAAGCCAATTTTATTGTTAGTTCTGTCCGTTTTTCTGTAGAGGTCGTGTTTTGTTTACAATTTGTTTCCCGTTATTACAGCCATTTAAAACCTCGTTTAACCAAATAATACGATCTAATCATAAACAATAACTTGTTCCCTAGTTATATAACCAAACATTAAAGCACAAATCAAGAAATTAACCCTAAAATAATAGAAACAAAGTTTCGTCGACACTAGCGCCTTTGTGTCACGTACATGAACTAGACACGAAAAACGTGCTTTAAAATTTACAATGGGATGAGAAGTCTACTTGTGTTGGTTAGTCTATGATTGCGTCAAATAAATATAAAGATGAATTATGCCTTACTTATCGCTGTAACAATCATTATCTTTGCAAAACAAATGTTAAGCTTAAGAAGACTAAACAAAACAAAATTAAATTAAATCATCTTTTTAAACTATAGGCCTAATTTATAATTTCTCTTGAATTCCAAAAATTATCCAAAGAATACAAAGATAATTAAAGGAGATAATTTTTAGACCTTTTTTAAAAAACATCAAAACTATTTTCCTCTATTATAATTTGAGGTAAATTAAATAAGAATTTTATTCCAATGGAAACTTTCTTCTAAAAAAAAACTTTAATATATGTGGTTCAACCTGCCTAGTATGCCTTAATTAACTAGGGATGCCAGCGTCGGATGCTTAAAAAAACCACCGCCCGGTTTTGTGCTTCTCAGATGGGACGCTGAAATGGGTTTTGGCCGGGATGCACAATATCGGTTGTGGGGAATTGGTTCAAATGTGGGGCATTATACTATGCTGCTATCATCCGAGACACTCTCTTTCGACATGTGCGAATAAGGAAAATAGCTTTTTCCGTAGGTCTCATGGTAAGAAGACCTGGACCCGGAACCGATTTACCAATTTTATGTCCCCAGAGGCCAAAAAACACCATCCGTTCAAAATGTTATACAGGAAACGTTTCAGGACTGTGGGAAATGAATCCTTAAAGTGGAAGATTATCTGTGAAGTTTTCAACCGATGATTGTGAAACTTCACAAGCACATTAAGGTACACAAGACCTATTATGGGAAAAATAATTCAGGTGGCCCGATTAGAAATTTCAAAATGGATGCCGTTTTAATCCTTGTTACTTAAATAACTCAGAAGGATGATTTTATAAATAAATGTCAAAGATATCCTTCTTTTAGCATTTTAAATTCGCTATCAAGTGATACAAAGATTAAAATGATCAGGCAAAAAATGACTGAAATATGAATTGTGATGTTTACAGCAATGGTATGTTGCACTATTTTGTTAAGAACTATTTTGACAAGAACTGTTATTTTGACATTATTCAACTATATCTACATTAGTAGGCCTACTACATTTCAAAATAATAAGTAAAAGCCTCCCCACTGAGTATTTTTAAGACCCAAATATCTTGTAAAGTTGACTCATTTAACATTTTAATTTTTAGGCTCTTGCCATGGTTGAAGAAGAGACAAGACGTTATCGGCCAACAAAAAACTATCTGGAGCATTTACCAGCGCTTAGTCTTAATGCTTTTGAGGTGAGTCAATAAGTAAATAGCTCCACCACAGCAAACCTGCAGACTCTGACTTAGTGAATTTCCATTTGCCTTATCTAGATTTTCATCATCTATATAAAAGACAAAGCCCTCACTGACTGACTCACTCACTCATCACTAATTCTCTTACTTCCCATTTACCTAGGAGGCTGAAATTTGGTACACTGATTCTTTAGGCATAAAATAGGAAAACTAAGCTGTTTTTATTCTGATCGGACTCTCGGGCTCAGCCCCAGTGGCTCTGGAGTTTCCCATGTTAACCTTAAGAGTACTCATATTTAAATGGAATTAATGAATCTTAACAGCTGTTTCAATTAAACAAGTTGGTTCTGTTCTATGATGTTCAATAAGTTACAAGGATTAACAATAGGGTGCAGCACTATTATTTCTTTTACATTTATGACAACAGCTAATTTGCAACCAAAAGGTGAGTGAGCGTAGCGAACGAACTTCAACCTGGAGGCGAGTTAGCGTAGCGAACGAGCTAAGTCTGCAGGTTTGCTGCGGCGGGGGTATTTTTACTTTTACTTTTGTAATAAACAGATTGTAAGACTCTTATACTTCTTTTGGTTGCAGACCGAACTTCTTAAAAACGAATTTGAAAGAATGCAGCAGCGGCTGCCAATGGACACACTAAGCATGAAACGCTACGAGTTGCCACCTCCACCTGCAGGCAAGATGACAGACATCGCAGCATGGAGTGAATGTGTAGAGAACTCCATGGCGCAACTGGAGCATCAAGCTACAAGGTAGCATTTACTCTGTTACTCTCATCACGGATGTTTTGTATCAGAGGAAATTTTACACCTATGACTATCTATTTGTCAGAATGTTCTTACAGTGAGACCTACGGGAACAGGCAATTTGAAGTTGAAGGAAGCTTCTGTTTGAAAATAGCTTCCATGTGTGCTCTTTCATGTAGCATTGTAATTAATTGACTTGCAACTGTATTGACTGTTTTCTTGATGACTAGAAGTCATAACCCACAGGATTGTTTCTTCAAAATTTATTTATAGCCTGGGATGACGGAATTCTCCCTAATATAATGTTATATTAATTTCTGGAAAAATTGTTTTGGCTAATTAAAAAAAAAAAATTATTTTTATTTTTTGAACTCTATCAAAATTACTAATCATTTAAGGCCTATTTATTGTAAAAAAAACAAAAACTCTATTTCTGTTAATCTGTAATGAGCACATTTGATATCTTTTGCAACCAAAAGGTTGCTAAAGCAAGAGAGTAGCTCAGCTGCATCCTCTTCTGTTCTAACCCAACACGCTCTCCCAAAGGTTAATAAATAATATCAGTTATATAATTATGTATACATCAAGAGAAATAATCTTAAAACCTCTACAAAAATCTTCTTTCTTGCTTTACTTACTTAGATAAATTATTATTACTCTAAAGTGATACCTTTGACTATTAATACCCAATAGTCAATGGTGATACTGTGGATATTGATTTACTTATAACCAGTGCTTGATTTGCGGCGAAACAGGCGGAATAGCGTTCCGATACCTCTCTTTCAGAAAGATTCAAATATTGTCATAAATAGGTACTTATCACACTAAATAGGTTACAGTTCCGGCACCTCATTTTTTACAAATCGAGCACTGCTTATAACCAATCTAAAAACAACCACTAGTAAACCTGACAGTTTATTTCTAATGTCTGGCCTTAATTAATTTCCACTTTAGAATTTGAAGTTAAAGTATATTTAAAATGAGAGTTGAAAGATACGATATTAAAACATTACTTTGTGCAACTAAAAAATTGTTTAATTGATTATAAAAACCACTTTTTCACTTTGAAATAACCCTAATAATTGTGTTGTATCAACTTAGAATATGCAATTTGGAGTTGATGACGGAATATGGCTGTGAAGCTTGGAGATCGTATCTAGAACTGCTAGTCAAATGTGTTTCATCAGCACAAAAACAACTTCAAACTCTGAGGTAAGTTCGTAATTTAACCCTTTTGCCGCCAGAGTTTTTTCATTTATATATTCGAAAACTATCGAGGTAATGTTGTACTTAAATGCAAGGCTTTTATAAAATGGCTATAACTTTTAATTTTTGCAAGAATTGTAGGGATGGACGGGATTGAATTTTTAGTTCGGGACGGGACGGGACGGGATTTTTATTTCCTTCCCAATTTTCGGGACGGGACGGGACGGGATTTTTTTCTGTGCATAAAAAGAAAGTACTGTATTGCAGTTACCAAAAAAAGACATACGAAATCAATTTTTACCATTTGTGGCACTGATCTATAAAAACCAAAAAATGGGTAACAATTTACAGGTACCTATAGTAACTTGTGACTCGCGGGTCACGGGGTGATCGTCTGTATGACTCGCGGTCACGACGCGATCGTCGTCATGACTCGCGGTCACGGCGCGATCGTCGTCATGACTCGCGGTCACGGCGCGATCGTCGGTAGGACTCCGCGGTCACGGCGCGATCGTCGGTATGACTCCGCGGTCACGGGGTTATCGTCGGTATGATTCGCGGTCACGGCATGATCGTCGGTATGACTCGCGAACACGGCTCGATCGTCAGCATGACTCCGCGGTCACGGCGCGATCGTCGGTATGACTCGCGGTCACGGCGCGATCGTCGGTATGACTCGCGGTCACGGCGCGATCGTCGGTATGACTCCGCGGTCACGGGGTTATCGTCGGTATGACTCGCGAACACGGCTCGATCGTCAGCATGACTCCGCGGTCACGGCGCGATCGTCGGTATGACTCCGCGGTCACGGGGTTATCGTCGGTATGACTCGCGGTCACGGCATGATCGTCGGTATGACTCGCGAACACGGCTCGATCGTCAGCATGACTCCGCGGTCACGGCGCGATCGTCGGTATGACTCGCGGTCACAGCGCGATCGTCGGTATGACTCGCGGTCACGGCGCGATCGTCGGTATGACTCCGCGGTCACGGGGTTATCGTCGGTATGACTCGCGAACACGGCTCGATCGTCAGCATGACTCCGCGGTCACGGCGCGATCGTCGGTATGACTTGCGGTCACGGCGCGATCGTCGGTATGACTCGCGATCACGGGGTTATCGTCGGTATGACTCGCGGTCACGGCGCGATCGTCGGTAGGACTCCGCGGTCACGGCGCGATCGTCGGTATGACTTCGTCTCCTGCGTTCGCGGACCTATCGCTCGCAATAACGGCGTTATCGGCACTCGCGAAGCGGAAAAATCGCCGACGATCGGACCAAATCCCGTCCCGAAAAATTCCCGAGTCAATTGTAATCCCGTCCCGATAATCGGGAATATTTTTTTCCCGAAAAATTCCCGAAATTTCGGGACCCATCCATCCCTATTGATAACACATTCTTTTCTAGAATTTTATTGTAATAAAATTTTGTTTTAAAAAATATATCTTTTATGAAGGTTTGAATGACATTTATAGAAGTCATTGAGTCTACTGTAGAATTAATGCAAGTTTAATTTTACATTTAATACGATCACAAAATTGATCATTTAAACAATAACTTATATTTTACAAGATAGTTGACCATTGTATAGAAGAGCCCCTATATACATGAGTGAAAAACTCATTGAACCTATATTTACAATCAAATATAGCAACCTATTAAACAAAAAACTAGCTCTTAAATGGTTCTTACGTTTTAATAATTAAACATTTCTTTAGGAAAGAAATTCAAGAAATCAACTGGCAACGAAAAAACATGCAGATGCAAGGTGGTGAAAAACTGAAAAAACTTGAAGCCATGTGGGTCGGTCTTGTGAGTAAAAACTATGAAATTGAACAAGCTTGTGTGCAACTAGAAAAAGAAATAGCAGAATACAAAATGTCAAATTGAAATTGTCTGTTATGTTTAACTTATATTTCCTTTTATACGTGTCTATCCCTTAACATATGTTTTTAATAAAAACTTGTACACTCTAATTCTATGTGTGTTTATTTGTTTGCTTTATACTAAAAGAATGGAATTTAAAAATTTTCATATATATTCACAAATAAAAAAAACTTATGGTGGTACGTGGACATTTCAATCTCCATTGTAGACATGACACGAGTATTTTCAGGCAGTTAGTAACAGCACTTTAGCAGATCTTAGAACTAGCCAGGCAGGGATAAAAAATCTTTTACCTAGCGAATGGCACCGTGTTGTATATGTGAGAGAAGACCAATCCAACACATAGACGAAAAAACCATCGTGTGGGGGATGGAAGACTCAACTTTTGCACCAAGCTAACTGCTCACTGAGGAGAGTAGTGGTGAAACCAATGAATAGAGGAGTGAGAGTAGTGCTAGCCTGCCTCGGGGGGAGACAACTACCTGCAAAAGGTTTGGACCAAAACACCTCTTCTCAATCCTCTCACCATTCAATTCCTCCCAAAATTGTGCTATTGCACTTCAATAAGCAGCAAAACAATATCCAGCATTGATCTTTGTTTTTGATTATCAATATCCAACATTGACATTTATTTGCTTATGATTATTCATTCAAAATAGTAAACAACTTTTGTAATTATTCTCAATAAAGAGAGCTCCCAGAGTGTTTTAGACTATCATTGTAATTAGAAGATTTAGATTTCATTCAGTGTTATATTTTATACTTGATCACTTTTAGAAACTTTAGTGTTACTGAGTAGTTATGATATTATTTTGGGATGTGTAAACATATACATGGGTCAGTATTTATTTATTTATTTATTTTATTTTATTTTTTTTTTTTGTTGGACCATTGTTTTAAGGAACTTCTATATTCATTAAACATAATTTATAAAAGCATAAAAGCATTTATTGACTATCATGGTTTTAAAAGTAGCTATTTGATTCCACAATATTAGTTACCGGTACTGTATTATTTTTCTTAGTAATATAAGTTTACCAGTAGAGAGGCTGAAGCAGTTCCCCTGGCTAAGATACAGCAATGGAACGTAGACTGAAAATAAGCTAAGTACAACTGCAGACGGCACACAGACCAGCTAAAGGCGAAAGCAATGAAAGCAGGGACCATTATATTTATACTTACCTGTTGACTCGCATGGGTGTTTATGTAGGGGGATGATGAGAAAGTATATCAGGAGACATGTTGTCACAGACACCCTTTTCCAGGGTTAACAACAATTAAGCAGGCATGAGTTGTTATTTAGGGGAACAGTAACTTCTCTACAGTACGGTCCACGAGAGCCTGCAGTTGACAGAGGAGCCTATTTACCATGTGACTTCAAAGTAGCCAATGAGGACCTCGTGTTGTTGCCAAATCAACTGCTAATAATACCAGCTGATTTGAACATATTGTTTAGTATTTTAATTAGTGTCGTAAAAGGATGATATTTATTTATTTATATATGGCAACGTCGCACTAGCCTTGTCATTGTGATTGGCTGCTGCCAACTGCAGACTCTCATGGTCCCTACTGTATACAAAATTGACACCCAATGTACGTTTAGTGTCCTAATAATTAAACTTTGTTAACAGATTTAGGCCAAATTACGTTCTTGTTAATTGGTAGTAATCCAATAACAGTTACTAGGGCGAGAAAACTTTATATTTTCTTGGCCCCCTTCAGTAGTGGCAGGCAGGGGGGGTGTGACATGTTAATGAGTACATATTACGTGTAGTGTAAAGTTCATGGGAATAATGATCAAACTCCATGTAATATTTTATTTTACATTAAAAATACCCTAAGGTATTTTTTAATTTGTAACATTCTGCCATAGAATTACAATTAGTAAAAGGTATTAAACACATTAAAGCACTGGTAACATACATTTACTTGGTTAAAAGAGATTTTTAAAGCATTTTTAAAAAATGCTCTCCTGTAAAATTTCTTCTTTGTAAGATTGATCCTTCTTACCATGCACCTTTCACGTGCCCAAAATTACCGTATTTTAACCTGTTTTTATTAGCTTGATTTCTTGTCTGTTTGGTACAAATTTTGCAATTGATTTCAAACTATCTTCCTGATAAGCTAGGGACTTGAAATATAGCTCACGAATAGATGACAATGCAATATTAAATCATTTTATTTTATTTTTCCCTTGGGCTACGCCCCTTGAGCTTCAAAATTTTTAATGTTTACATTTTGGAGTAAACTATATCAATTAAAGTCAGCTTTAAATACTTTAATAAGACAGTTTGTTCAAAGAGCAGAGGTTAAGTGGCACAGAATCTGCTCCCGAGAGATTCTAAATACAAACAAACATTTCAAAGTAGAGATAAAACATTTGATTACACATAAAAAGGTTTTGGTCGTATAGATTTAACATATTTACACATTAAAGACTAAAATTATAAAATAATTTATAAATACAGGGAGCGGCAGAAATATCTGACGGTTTTCAAGCGAGTACCGTCCGGCAGCCAAGTGGAGGAGGGTGGTGGGGAGCGGCTCATTCTCAAGGCCAAGTGAGACAATTTTAGTCGCCATAGAGCAGTGGACCGGTATACATCGCGCGTTTGTCGTTGAGGCGTATTTTAAAAATGGCGATTTTGTTGTTGATAGCAACGTAAGTTTCGTAGGCATTTTAATGTGGCTCGTGGGGAACCTATCCCATCCCGAAACACAATCGGATACCTTTAGATCCACAGGATCAACTGCAAAACGTAGGCCTACAGGCCGTCCAAGGTCAGTGAGGACGCCGGAGAACGTGGAGCGAGTGCGACAAACTGTGCTAACGAGCCCGCATCGCCCGGCGCGTGGACAAGCTGCTGCTCATGGCATGTCTGAGCGCTCTACTCGACGAATTTTGCACTCAGACCTTCACTTTCACCCATATAAAATAGCAATCGTCCAACAACTTCAGCAAAATTTGTCGAATAGAGCGCTCAGACATGCCACGAGCAGCAGCTTGTCCACGCGCCGGGCGATGCGGGCTCGTTAGCACAGTTTGTCGCACTCGCTCCACGTTCTCCGGCGTCCTCACTGACCTTGGACGGCCTGTAGGCCTACGTTTTGCAGTTGATCCTGTGGATCTAAAGGTATCCGATTGTGTTTCGGGATGGGATAGGTTCCCCACGAGCCACATTAAAATGCCTACGAAACTTACGTTGCTTTTAACAACAAAATCGCCATTTTTAAAATACGCCTCAACGACAAACGCGCGATGTATACCGGTCCACTGCTCTATGGCGACTAAAATTGTCTCACTTGGCCTTGAGAATGAGCCGCTCCCCACCACCCTCCTCCACTTGGCTGCCGGACGGTACTCGCTTGAAAACCGTCAGATATTTCTGCCGCTCCCTGTATGTGCAGGGAATAAATAAAATAATTGTAAGATTTAAAACGAAAAACGTGGGACACATGCAATAGATTAAAGAGGGGGGTAGCTGTCGATGCACAGTACATCCTGTTTGTATGATTAAATATATGTTTCCTAATTGAGGTTAAAAATAGCTAATAATTCAATGGGTGAAAGGTACCGATGAAATAAATTCATAGCATGATAGTTAACACTATTTTTATGTGTTTCATACGATTTTATAGTTGTATACTTCTAAAACAACACCCTTTACTAAACTAATTGAATGCTTTATAAAATGTTATGACACATATTTTAGAAGTTAGATTAAGATTATGAACCTAAAACATAACTAAGGAGTTTCCTGAAATAAATAAGTTATAAAAAGTACAGGCATTATGTCAAAGAAAAAATAAATAATATAGTCAATACTACAAATAAAAAATTTCTTTATTGTATCAAAATATAGACATTGCTTGGCTTGCAAAAAATAACAATGGTAATGCAAATAAATAAACAATGGTATGCCAAATTAAAATACTTACAAAACAAATTTGGTACAGTAGTTCGTTCTATGTGTATTAAATATGGAACAACATAACTTTTTTCATTGTCTCTGTATTTCAGCCAATTTTATTAAGTAAACCAATAATGAATGTTTCTAAATGAATATGCAATACAACTTAAAAAAAGGGTACAAGTTTTGGACTGTAAAAAGGTATTGAATAAAATTATAACTACCAACTTGATAATAATTCTGACTATATTGCAACCCTATTTTAACACTAACCCTTTAGAGTAATGCTTTTGTGAATCAGTTAAAAGACATCTAATACTGTAATATCATGTCTTTGCAAACTTGGTATCTATTGCAGTTGCACTTGAGCAATGCCAAACATGAAACGTCCAGTATAGGCAGACTAAAATGCATACCTCTCTTTGATAATTTATTTTACAAAACGCATTGTGTTTCGTATTATTTATAGACTTTTTGGTTCCTTTATAACTTGTCTGAAATATGATTTATACTCACCAAAAGATAAGAGATTAAATCATTGCAGATGCATGAATAAAGTCAAGTACCAAGTACAGTACATACATGGCTTATTCTATAAAGTAGCAGTTTTTAAAACCCCTAAAAAGGTAAAATTAATAGTCTCTTAAGGTATCCTACCACTACCTATCTGTAGCTTTTGTTCAAATTATCACATTCATTTACAAAATACAAATCAAAATCACACATTAACGAATGCAATAAATTACCCATATTTATGTAGCCTATTTTATCAATGGATTTTTAAATCTACTTCTTACTGTAAATATTTTCAAAGATTTTCATTCTTAGTCCAAGGCCAGGCAACTTACTATGATAAAACCATACATAGTTAATGTGCACAACTTTCCTGACCATTTTGAATTACACACTCACAGGGTGATTGCCAATAAAACCTTGTTGGAGTAGGCCTATTGATGTAAATTTTAAAATTATGATCAAAAATGTTTCGTCCAAAAAAGTTTGTTTTGGTTTGGATCAAATATTTGAAGTTTTTTTAATTTTAATTTTAAAATGTTGAACAAAAGGCAACCTAGCATAATACCGTAACCAAAGAAGTAACTTACCTACAATACAGTTTTTTTTACATGTATAGCCTAGATATGGTACAAAGCACGAATACTAGAACAGAACCGGTATGGGTCATAAACATAAATATATGACGTTGCTGGCCCTGATACTTTACTAATTTGCATTAACACATTGTTTTGAAAGTTCCATTTAAGCAATATTAAAATAATGTTTAATTTCGGGCCAGTAACATAATTTGTTTATGTTTACGATCAATATCTGTTCAAGTATTCATCGTACAAAGCTAGTGATTCTTAAAGCTTTTTCTAGGTCTCTCCAATATGGAGAACACTGACACTCCTTAACAAACAAGGAGGTATTCAGACTCAATTTGGCAAAAACATTCCCCATAAAACGGAGAATACTTGTCATCAGTATTCATCTTCGAGACCCTACAGGCTCAGTTAGGCAAAACAGTAAATTAAATACTGATTGCTTTAAGTTTTTTCCTAACTAATACCTAAAAATTTTACAATAAGTAATTTTGTACAAAGGGTAAAACTCGTTATCCGAGTATTTTACTATGACGGAAGTGTCATCTTTGATGCTGGTATCATACACAACATTTTGAATGATGGGTGGTATTTTCATATCAGGGGAACCGGTAATACTGTGGGAAGTTAACACCTTAAACAACAACATGAACTTCACTGAGGTTCTGTCGCTGTAATGGCTGGAGTAGGTGGCGAATGGGGAGAAAGAGACTCCTTCTCCAAACTTGTGTTTTTCTTTACACAACCTCCAGTTCAAGTTGTTGTCGAGTATCCCATTTAAGTGTTCTTCTTTTGTACCATGATATAAATACAACTCATCGACGTGTTCATTACGAGATTCCATTTCTTGTTTCTTTAACTGATAACACGAGTGCATGAAAGGATTTTCGATCCTTTCAATCCCGGTGATTCTCAGTGAGAACTCTCTAGATTGTGATGATCTATGGAAATATCTCTGCACCGATTTCCCCTCGGGAGATAGTAGTGAAATATCAACCAGACCAGTTTTGTCAACAGCACCCGAAGACCATTCCTCTGGGTATATTAACAAATCCAGAATGTCTAATGGTTCGTCATAGCAACTGAGTAGTACTACAGATTTATTTGAAGTTTTGGTTGTATCGTTGCAGTTTACATCTTTTCCCTCATCTCCATCTTTGCAGGTTACATCTTTTCCCTTATCCTCATCTTTGCAGGTTACATCTTTTCCCTTATCCTCATCTTTGCAGGTTATATCTTTTTCCTCATTTGATCCCCCCTCATTTGATTCTTTGGTTGAATCAGTGGACGTACTGATTTTTTCAGAAGGTCTCCGTTTCACCCGAGGTACAATTATACCAGTATCAAGATTAGAATTTGTAACAGAGCCAGAACCATCACTGACAGCGGTGCTGGAACTTAGCGAGTCATTGTCCAGTGACTTACGTTTTCTATTACGTTGTCTCCCTGAGTTGCGGCGCTTAGGATATTTACCATTACAAACTGAACTATTCTGGCACAGGTTGATATTATTGGTAGAGTTGCTCCTGGAGAATCTGTTTGTAGCTCTTACAGGGATGTTATCTAAGGATCCGTACCTTACCATAGAGTTGTAGTTTGTGTCTTGATGAGCCCTTCTATAACCATCATTAAACGAGTGATGTCTTGAGAAACGATCTACCCTTGACACAGGCCTCAACGGGGGACCCATAGATCGCTCCCGGTTGTCATTGTGGCATTGTTGAAGATTGGGGTACGACCGTGAAATGTATGTGTGTTGTATTAGTTCCTGACCAAATTGATTGTATGTGTAATTATTAGGAACAGGATTTCCCAAAACACTGAGATCATTTAGACTACCATTGTAATATGCATTATTATTAAAATTTTGTACTCTGTTTAATTCCCTAACACCGTTATAACTTGGGGCAGCACTGCCGTACGATCCGGTAACATTTGCATTATTATAATAGCTGTAATCTGTTTGATACCCTCTTGAATTACCTGTATGTTGATTACCCGTTACATTATAGTTATAATAACGGTCCGATTGAACCCTATAGTTTGATACTTGGTTTTGGGTTGGTTGTAAGTTGTCAGGACGTACTTCTTGACCGAGTTCCCAAGGACTGATGTGTCCGCCAGGAGCTTGTGTTTCAGATTCCTTACGTTGCAACTTGCTCTTCTTGCATCCCATTGCCTAAAAAAATAATAAAAGTAAAAGAAGGCACAAGATTTTAAATATTTACCTGGCATTATGACTTAATCAAAATAAATAAGTAAAAGAGTAAATATATTATTGCAAGTGTCATTATTGTCGGGGCCACAAAAGTTTGCAGTTGAGGGAGGAGCCTATTTACCATATGGTTTTGAATGAACCAATAAGAACCGTGCGGTGTTGCCAAATCTAATAATACCAGCTGATTTGAAAATATTGCTTTGTATATTTAATAAGTGTTGTCAATGGGCGATGTGGCAACGTCACACTAGACTTGTCTTGTGATTGGCTGCTACCAACTGCAAACTTACTTGGTCCTGACAACAGATATTATCGCTACGGTATACAGTTGTGGCAAACAAATAGTACACCATCTTCTTGTATTGTACTTGCTTGTCACAAAGTCACTGAGCAATAAAATAACTTTGACGTATTATTCAGTGAAACACTACCCCCTCAGGGTGACGACCCGCTAAGAGTCAGAAGTAAATCTTAAATGCAAGACATAGGTTATGTACATCAAATTGAATGCCTTTACTAGTAAAATACTATGTCGTAAATTTGAACTCAAAACAAACAACAGAGTTAAAATGGTAGCCGTTCAACAGATTTCTAGAATCTGCCATTTTGAATGTTTAAATGGCTGCTATTTTTTTTCAGCAGATGTTCTTTTTAGCTCAAATTTGTGGGATTGTATTCTACTAATATAGACCTTTAATTTGAGGCGCATATTGACCTTTACTTACGTTTATGATTTTCTTCTGACTTCTAGAAGGTCTGAGGAGGTAGTATATAATAGCATTGCAAATTCAATGAATCTTTGAACAGCTGTTATTTTTTAGGCTACTCGATTGTCTGTTTGAGTTCAGTTTTGCGGCATAGTAAACTTACGTTTAAGATTTTCTTCTGACTCCTAACGTCCTCTTAAAGAGGTATCGAATCACTGAATAATGCGTTAAAATGATTTTAGTGTTCATTAACTGAGTTTTGAAGCTCTATTTTTTAGTATTTTTTGAAATATTGTAAGTTGTAACAACAGTTATAACAGTTATACCAGTTATAACAGTTGTATTGTAACAGCGCAGGACTTTTTTTGCACCGTTTACCTGATAGGTAAACCGAACATACATAGCTAAATATATAAACAAAACACATCAATATCATCATCCTTTTACAGGGTGTCCTTCAAGTACGTACAACAAATGTAGGAACATTTGCTTACTTGTTTTTATGTGTTTTTTGCAGCCATTTTAATTTTTATAACTTAAACTAGCAAACCCGTTGTGGCCGAAATCTATATAAATCTATATGTTAATTACGTGAGCCGATTCATTGCGTCAAAATTGTGGGCGACTGAGAAGTTGTAGAACGACAGGAGAGGGCTCAAATTAAAGGTCTTGATCCCGTGATGGCGGAGAAAATTGTTAAATTCCCAAAATTCTAACTCAAAATTAGATATAACGTCAAATATTTTCCACAAGAATAACAGTAGAAGCCATTTACTACTGATTTTTGTTTACTTCAATAGAGCTGATCGTGATTTATCATTAAGCCAGTACGCAATATTACATTTGGATTAATCATTTGACAGTCAATTCTGCAATGTACTGTATACTATATAAAACCAGGGATAACGTTACCTATAATAATAAAGATTTTTTAGTTATGTCTTAGAAAGTTTAAATCAAAGGAATTAAACTTGGAATGGCTGAAAACAATTATGAAGTTTTTTCTTATAGGCCTAATTTGAAGGTTATTGTTGTGTTTAAAGAATATTTAACATGAAATAATCACATTGACTAAATAATTAACGATTCAAGCTTAAATGGAAAACTTCTGCTTTGTTTTGATTTCAAAACACTTATGTTAATGATTTATTCCACACTTTTTTATTTCAACATTTATATTGGAGATTTATTGTAGTGTTTAATCAATATTTTGTATGAAGTGCAATAACCTCAATGGCCAACTCTTTGAAAACAACCTGGGAATAAAGATGAATAGTTTCATACAGGCATTTGTTCAAGTACTATAACAAGTTCCAATGGGTGGAAAAACAATATTGTTTGGAGGAGATTTTAAACAGGTACTGCCTGTTTCTCCAAGCAAAAAAGGTTCCGTTTCTTAAACTAACCAAAAATATGCATGTCGAAGATGCTGATGTAAAGTAATTTTGCTATTACATTATAAACTTACACTAGGCTAATAGTAGTTTTTTTAAATGGTAATCAGAAACAAATCTAGGGTTGTTTGGTAAACGGGATTCCTTTACTATACACTAATTTTGTTAAACCTTTACAAAAGAATCATAAACTTAGATATAAAAACTGGGTCGGGGTGCTAATTTAGTGGTTTTGACCAAGAACTAACTCGACTGACTTTATATCTCTCTATCTATATCTCTTTCGCTTCCAACTCGCTGAGTCACCCCTGTGTCTGGTACGTCAAACGGAAGAAGAAACGTTGCAACACATCCTCCTTCATTGCACTCGCAAGTTGGATATCAGAGATGAGCTGAGGAAGAGGCTCCAACTTGACTGTACTCTTGGACTAATCCTAACTGATCCCACCTACTGGAGACTGGCCAACCTTGTATATGAGAGACACCGTGCGGTCGGCATTACCTGGAGCTCGATGCACGTACCAAGAAGTAAGGAAGTAAGACCAAGAACTAAGTTTATCTCAACACACCTTTATTTTCCTTTTCATACTTGACGAAGACAATTTCCAATATTTCAATCAGGGAAGCCGTTTTATAATCATTAACCAAAAGCCCAAAGCTACCTTAGTAAACCAATATTTATTCACAAACATGTTTGCTGTCTTTAGCAGAGTTAAACCTCTGGAGTAATTCAAATTATTTATTGCAAATAACATCAACATAAGCAAACCAAGACAAACAACAAACTGTTTATTACACAAAAGATAAGTTGTACTGAAATATCTATCCTGACTCATAGATATTTTGATTCTGAGATGTTTAAATATTACAATAATTTGCTTTACATTAGAGCTTCTTATGGACTTATATCCCTACAAGCCACTGGTATTGTTAAAATAATGTTATGTAAGTTAGCCATCAAATCACGTAGTCTACAACTGAGTTAAAACAACGCATTCTATACTTTCCAACCTATTGTAAAATTTGAAATATATTTGATTATAGTATCGTGTTGGCAACATAATTGATGATCGTCATATTGTATTGATCAGCATGATGGCAACGACTTGGGTATAGACCTTTAAGGTATGGTGAAAACTATTCATGAAACTCTCTCAAAGCAGGCAAGTCTTTAAAAAATATTTTACAAGTACTGTGCAAGAAAATTATTATTTCATAAGTTGAATCAAATAAACCAATACATTTATGGTAAGGGTTATTTATTTTTAATTAACTTTGTTTGGAGAAAACACCTGTATTTAGGAATTGCCCAACTTAGAGCAACGGGTACATTAGTTTAAATTAAAAAGTTAAATGTTCAACCTGAGTAGGGCCTACACTTCTTGATTATTTAATTTATTTAACTATTTAAAAGCAATAGTTAAATAAACTAAATACTGTACGTGCAAGCTTGAGTCGCGGCCGGCTCGACGTAAGCGTGCACACATCGTGATGGTTTCTGTCTGTAAATACTTTGTAAATATAATGTGTTTTTTTTTTGTGTTCGGTAAAAACTTTATGTATTTATTATAACAAATCGTTCTACGAGGATTGACCCGATGATGAGACTGTCGTCAAGAAAACCAGTCGTCATCTAACAATACCAAAGGATATTGAACAAGGTAACTGTTAATTTTATTATTGAAAACTCTAAGAGGTCACTAGAATAACTTAAATTTAAGCATAACCTTTTCCTCGGCGTTATGTTTCATCCTAAATGCGGCTCAATGAGCCGCATGGGTTCTCTAGTATTCCTACATTCTTTGTAATGAATTACCGGATACCCTGTGTATAAGAAGTGAGCCGCTTTTTTTTACACAATTCCTCATCTTTTATTTCTTGACAAATTTCTATTTAAAATGTAAGGTGTGAAATCAAGCTAGGTGTCAAGGTTTCAAAACATTTGCCTCGGTTGTTAGTTTTGCTATAATTAAGGTTAGGCATATAAATTTTAGTCTGATCTGAAGCCAAAACACAGACACATAAGGGGGCAATACAGCCCTTAGAGTATGTTATATAAATATATATTGTATGTTTTTCGTTCATAAGATTTAGCTTGGAGAAGATTTACTAAATTGTAAACCATAACAGGTCTTAGTAATAAAACACGGTACCTAGGCCTACCTACAACAGGAGAAGAGTTGTTAAAAGTAGAATACAAACAAACTCTAATGAAATCAAAACCCAGCCTGTGTTTATTGTAAGACTCAATGAGGGTAAACATTAAGCTTTTGAGTAAGTAAATAATGTTTTTATAAAGTAAAGTTTTTTTTATATTCAGCAGCGGTTTTGTTTGAGAGAGTAGAAAATTCTGTAGCTTCAAAAAGAAATATTGAAAACAGGAGGAGTTAGATAATTGGTGAGGGGTCTCATGCGGTTGAGAACAGTGCGGGAGAGAAACAGATTATTTTTACTAATAGGAATCCACATATTCATAAACTTGGTTAGATGAATAATACGTGTGGGTTTATTTATGCTTTACTTTTTGAGTAAAATAAAACTCACTATGAAAGGGAAGAAACTTTTGGCAAGGCTATTGCTCGACGCAGTCATTTGATCAGACAAAGACGTTCCTCCTTCACTGTCTGCTCCATCAGTACCCACAACACCGAGGCCCAAGGTTCCGCCCTACGACACATTTTCTGAAGCAGTCAATAGCAGAGCTACTACTGTTACACATTAACAAACACAACATTCGTACAGATCGCACTTCATTAAATTTAAGAAACTCATTGAAAATAGTACACCAGAACATACAGGTTGCTACAAACAAGTCACTTGAAATAGAAATTCTCTGCAATGAGCTCAAGCCTGATGTTTT